TTGGATTGGGAACGAAGAGTATTTTGCCGTGGGAGGCCTGTTTTGAAGGCGAGATGCTGGGTGACATGAAATTCGGGTGCCTGTTTGCCGGCGAGTTGAAGGAAGAGGGAGACAGAAGCCTGAAGTCGGTAGTCTTGGACGGACTTCTCGATAACGAGCGTCGAAGCTGGCTCAGGGCAGAGTTCTTGTGGGTTGCGTGAAACCCGCTAGAGAGATGTAGGGTGCCTCCGGCATCACGGTGAGGGGAGAACGACGCGACCATTGTTCCAGGCCAGGACAGGGCCGGTTTATGGGTGTCTGTGACGCTGCCGGGAGAAGTGAAGCAGAAAAGAAAAAGGGGGGAGGGCGGGCTGAGAGCGCTCTTTAACAGGATTCTGGCCGTTCCAAGCCCTGTCTTGAGGCCACACAAGGAGAGCAATACGGCCTTATCTTGCGCAAGAAGTGAAATGAAGACCTTCCCTCTCCACACAGCAGCCTGATGCCGGGTCGACAGCGAAGAAAAGGCGCACGTCCGGTGGACACTGGTTGGCACTGGTTGACACTGGCTGACACTTGTTGACCCAAGGGTTGGCTGATCCGGGCGAGTAATCGACAGACAGACAAGCCTACTGCACCGGTGTAACTTCCATCAGCGCCTCTATTATGTGTCTACTCCAGCGTGCGAGTCAACACCGATACGCATGCTCGAGACGAGATTTCCCCTGCAGTCGAAGCAGCCGAAGAAGACAGAAACGAGTGTTGGCGACTCTTTGCGGTCGATCGCGGGCGCTGATGAGTTGGCGGTGACGTCGGGCCGAGTCGACGATGATACACGCTGTCAGGAGCCAAAAGGGGGTGTTCCTGTTCTCTTCAAAGGAGTGACTAGAAAAAAAAAAAAAAAGAACGGAACCCTGAGTCGCAGGAAGAAGCCCACCAAGTTGAGCAGCGTCTGAGGGACAAGTCGAGTTGGTGATCGCAGGTCGACGTTCGCGTTGTGGTTGGAAGATCGAGGACGGTCGAAAGTTGATGTTGATAAAAGATAAAGTCGAAGTCGTGAAAAGGAAAAAAAAAAGCCTCTTTTGGGGGTTTTTTTTTTTTCTTCACGCGATTTTTCGCGTTGTTGTTATGGATTTCCCGATACGGTTAGCGTGTTTGTCTCGTGATTTATTTTTGATGAGTAAGCGAGGCTAGTCCTTTTTGGGCAAAACAACAACAAACAAACAAACAAGCCAGAAATGGCAAACTTGGATATAAGAAGATAGAGAAGATGAGAAGAGAAGAAGAGACGAAGATGAGAAGAAGAGAAGACGAGAAAAAGAAGATATGAGAAGAAGAGACGAAGATGAGAAGAGTATACGTCTAAGATATAACAGCCTGAAGCGCTAACTCTATTTACATGGATGTCTGTGGGCGCAACGCCGTACCTGCATTCTTTTTATAGCCTGCACAGGATGATGGATGATGGAGGCCAACGCCTTGCCTCTGCATCCCTTTTATGAAGCAGACGGCGTCTCACTTGGCGCTGGATGCTGCAGAGCGAGCAGCTCGCGCCGGATCCCGTCAAGCATTCTCATAGCCCTGTCGCTGCTGGGGCCAAAGACCCCAACGTCAAGCCTGTTGTTTCTAACCGCCGCCTCAACATCGACGGACGGCTGGTGGAGATGTGTTAGCCTTCTTTTTTTCCTTGTCTGCAGCGTAATATTGGAAGGGGGGGGGGGGGACCCCGGAATGCCTACCTTGTAGATATCTCTTGCGTTCTCAACTCCACTCGCTACTCCAAGCATCTCCTCGAGCCAAAGCTTGGTGCCCTCTCCCGCCCCATTGCATTCCTTGTCCTGCCAGCCGAGAACTTCTTCCTCTGTGATCTGAGCCAGCTGTGGGGCATCGCTCTTCGCCATAGGCGCCTGTGCTGGTGCCTCTGGCAGCTTTATAAAGTTTACTGTCGTGTCGACCCTGGTCCCAGTCCACTCGGCAATCTGTGCGAGTGACACTGTGCAGTTCTCGGCAGAGCCGATTTCATGCAGGTCGCTTTGGATGCCCCGCGCCAGTTGGAACACGGAGCGAGCGCCTGCTCCCTTGATGCGGAGTGGTACAATGTTGAGTGTTGGCGCGACAAGCTCAGGAAGGCCGGCCAGGTTGTGGGAGCGGTTGGCCAGATAGACACCAACCGTCAGGTCTTTTTCGTCCGGTACGCAGAATTCGCGCACATGTACCCTGGAGTAGACGGCCAGGAACACAGCCTGCACCGATAACCCTTCGGCCTGGCAGACCCTGTTCAGCCATCCGGTGCCGTCCAGGAGAGACGGGTGATAGTGCCCTGATCCAACCTGGACATCCGTCACAGGCTTGACTGCCTCCGTGCCCTCTCCCAGATACCTCTTCCAAAACGCCTCCTGCTGTCCCGCAGACGATACGGCCTTGCTGAATGATATAAACTCGGCAAGGTCCACAGGGCCGTCTACCGAGGCAGACGCATCCTGCAAGAGTGACTCGAGCGCGTTTGTAAGGTGCTGAAGTACCACGGCGTCGTATAGCGCGTGGTGGATATGAAGCATCAGGAGGGTGTCTGTCTCCGTCCGAGAAGCGTACAGATAGACAAGGCCAGAGCCCTGTCTCGCCTTTACATGCTGGCGATTGGACTTGATCCTCAGATCAGATCTCCAAATCACTGGGTTGCTCGCTTGATTCAGCTCCGCTAGAACGTAAGGTGTAGTAGCATCACCGGTGGCAAGAACTGTCGTTCTTAGAATAGGCAGCTTAGCCGTCAGGTCTTCCCATGCATTGTCCACTTGGCTTTGCGGGATGCGGCCGGTGACCCGATAGAAAAAGTCTGGGAAAAAGAGCTTGCCATTTGAACTCTTCCACATCTCCAGCATGTATATCTGTCCCGCTGTAGCAGGGAGGAGCGTCTTGACGTCCTGGGGATGTATTCCATACTTGCTAAGCTGTTCGTCCATCATGCTATCTCTCGGCACCCGCAGAGACAACGGCTTCTCTCCCGAAGCTGTCCCCGTCGTCTGCGAAGAATTGGCCATTCGGCCATTTTTTCAACAGTCTCAGCTCGAAGTATATCCCTAACAGAGATAACCACAGATTCCCTTCTCAGTAACGAAGAAACCTTGATGGCGCTAATACTGTCAATTCCAATGTGGAAGATTGTCGTATGTCTGGTTATCTCTTCCTTTGGAACAGCAGCGACCAACGACAGAGTCGCCCTGATTTGCTCTTCAAGTGGTGACCACGACGTACTCCCGGCGCTGGCGCCGTTGGATCCATTAGGCACAGAAACGCCATTCGAACTCACACCGGGGTGAGGCGGGCTTTGTTCCCAGACCTCAACGAAGCTTGTGGTGGGCTTGTTTGGAGAGTGTACAATATCTTTGAACACCTGCAAAAGCTGCGAGACAAGCTTGTCGGTATTCTCGCTGCCTATGATGGTGTCTTTGCAGGCAACGCGCCATATGGCGGAGTCATTGACAGCTTCTAGCTCGACACAGACGGGGTATTCTACCCCAGAGGCGCTCTTTATCGATTGGTATAACGGCTTGATTTGGCTCGTCCGGGAGTCAGGGCTCTTTTGGTAGATGAAAAGTGTATCAAAGAGCTCCTTGTTCCCGACTCCCATCATGTTCTTTATCTTTCGCAGGGGATAGTGCTGATGTTCCAGCATGTTGCCGAGATTCTTCTGAACGTACGCCAGCATCTCGGATACGGTCCCATGAAGAATCCCACGAACCGCAACAGTGTTCATAGTTGGGAAGGCAACGTTGGAGGCTTCTTCCGTGTCTCTTCCAAGCATCACAGTACCAAAGAGGACATCCAGCCGTTTCAGATAACTGGCAAGGACAATTGTCCAGCACGTAAGCCCAAGAGCCTGGACTGTAACACCATAGCTCTTACAATAATTTAATACCTCTGGAAGTGGGATATCGGAAGCAGTTTCTTTACGGTACACCAAGGATCCTTGACTTGCAGCATCTGGTTGCCGTGGGAATAAACTCGGCTTTGCATCTGTAAGAGCTCCTTTCCAAAACTGCAGCCCTGCCTCACTTGAAGAATCAATGATATGCTCTAGGACGTTTTGATAGGGTGGCCGTGTGCAATCTTTGCCTGCGTAGCTGCTAGCTACATCTTGATGAAGTAGACTAAGCGACCATCCGTCATACATTGCATGAGGTAGAGAAAGGACAAGAAGCAGCTTGGCTCCATCTCGAAGAAGGCGTACGTTGAACAGTGGCTTTGACATCACGAATTGCATCGCTCGTTCTCGCTCTTCCTCAAGAATCGATTCAACGGGCTTGTTTGCAATGTCAGTAATATCCCAATCTATTTCGACGCCTGACTTGTGAACGAGTTGTGCGTAAGAGAACGGTAGGTTAGGGTTAGATATTGTAGAAAAGGAGGTCCGGAAAATCGGGTGACAATTAGAAATAGACTCCCATGCTTTTCTCAACAGGCTGAGATCCACATCTTCTTCAACCTGTAAAATATCATGGTTGAAGTAGTGGTGGCCGTCAGATGATACCATTTCACTAAGCATTCCCTCTTGTAGAGGTGTCGCAGGATAGACATGTTCAATATCATTCAAGTCCTTTCCATCCGCTTCCAAAGATTGTCGTAGTTCAGACTCCAATGATCTTAAATATGCCAGGCTGCTCTTGGCTGTGTTATTATCCACTGTTATCTCCGTCATCATCATTCGAATACTTCGATTCCTCATGATATTGCTCACTGACAGATCTATGTGGTCACGCTTTAAGCGTGAAGAGAGCCTGATGGCATCTATGCTATCCAGTCCAACCTCAAGAATAGAAGAACCCTCTGTTATAGTAGACGCATCGAGATTAGCTAGCTTTGCTATTTCTTGCCTAATCAAGGAGGCTGTCGGGCTCCATTGGAATGTAGCGTTGCCATTGGATAGTTTCTGCTCAGAAACCTCTTCCTCGATTCCGCTAGGCATAGCTTTATCTAAGTTTGATCCCCCAGAGATACCAAGGTTTGAAGAGGGTTCTTCGGCCAGCAATTTCATAGATAGTCTGAATTGTTCGAGTAAGTCAGTAATGCCATCAGTCGTCAAGCTACCCCCTTGAGCAGCAACAGTCACTTGGAAGGATCCGTTGCCTTGGCTCTGCACTTCTAGGGCAAGGGGGTAGTCAGCCTCTGCGAAAGATGCTACAGGCTCCCATAAAGCTTGAGTTGCTTGGGAGGCACCACGCTCTTCTTTCTGGAAAACAAACAGTACATCAAACAGAGGACTCTGTGAATTTCGATTTATCCACTTCATTATTGATCTCAGCGGTGTATGTTGGAAAGGGAGGGCTGCGATAGAGTAGTCATGGCAAGCTTTAGCAAGGTCAGAAAAGGAAGTGCAGTCAAATCTGGAGCTGTTGCAAGGAATAGTGTTGAATAAAGGTCCAATTGTAGCGTCGGCATCTTCTGAGTCAAATGATCTTCCAGACACCACAATACCCATAGTTGGGACATAATTGAAATGTTTCGCGAATGCGTGAACATAACAGGCATGGAACATGGCTTGTTCCGTAACGTTTAGTAACCTCCTTGTTTTCTCGAGAGCATGTAGGCCATCGACCTGAATCTTTGAAGTTATAGGGCCAGATTCTGAGCCTGATATCCGTGGTATCATCTGTTGGCTCATGCCTTCAAGGTGATGAGTCCAGAACGATTTAGCACCAGGCACAGTCAGAAGCGGCCCTAGAGGCAGTACTTCAGTAAATGGAGTAGTGTTCAATACTTCCTGTCCATTGTATACGCTTGTAACTGCGTCAAGGATCAGTGGAAGGCTGATTCCATCGTATAAACCATGGAATATATTCAAGCACATCCATTTGTGAGTCGGGCTGGAAATAACCCCGATCTCCCACACTTGGCCAACAAAATTATCGAATCCACGATTCCACTCCATGAAACGCGCGTTTGACATATCTTCGAGGTCAGAATCCTTTATTGCTGTTAATTCAAACCACGGTAGAGTGTCCTCTTTAAGTACAACCAGAGCGTATCCATCATCTGTCAGAGGGAATTTTGTTCGTAGTAGTTGGAAAGAAGTTTGGGCCCGTTGCCAGGCACCTTTTAGCTTTGGCACATCAACTGTATGTTTCAGCTCAAATTTGAATGACGTTAAGTAGGGATGAGATTCGTTCCTGAGACACTGATATAGCATACCATCCTGCAAAGACGTGCAGGGAGTGATTGCCTCGATATCTTGAGGAGTAACTTTCAATTCGTTGGCTAGATGCGCCCTATGCATATGAGCAAATGCGGCTATCTTTTGCTTTGCATCCTCATACAGGCGATTCTCGTTCCCGCCGTTCATGTCGGGGGATTCGATGGCAGAAGCCAACATTGAAAGGGTTGGACCTAGAAAATGTTAATATAACACCCAATGTTATCACGAAAGGTAACTTACACTTCATCACCACGGACGGGCGCGCTGTTGGGAAACCGGCGTCTCGAAGGGCTCGAGCAAATGAGATTGCCAATATAGAGTCCAGCCCTAACTCAAAAATGTTGGAAGAGGGTGAAATTGTACTCTCCTCAACCTTTGTAAATTTAGAGACAATAGGTACGATTGCTCTGATTGTTTCTGAATTTCCAGTTGGACTTTCTAACTCCTGAGAAGACAGTGCCTGCATATCACTTAGTTGCATAGACGCGAATATCCCACGCAGTTGAGCATTATCAACTTTGTTGTTGGAAGACAGGGGGAATTTTCTCAACGGGATTATATGAGTTGGAATCATGTATCCTGGCAAATGCGCACGGCATTCTTGACGAATCCGTTCCAAAACCATCCCAGCCTCAGGACTAAAATCAACATCTAGGCTAAGAGCTGTGGCAGAGGAAGATGCAATCGTGGCAAAAGACACAATTTGCTCCTTTGTTGCCGTAGGGTGTTTGAGCACCATTGTCACCACCTCTCCAACTTTGTCTGTCGAATTCTTTATGACATGGTTAATCTCATTAATTTCGAGTCTTTGCCCTCGAAGCTTCACCTGGTCATCAATACGTCCAAGGAAGCAGAAACTTCCATCGTGCATCATGCGGACCAAATCACCAGTTCGATAGACCCTTTCTCCATAGGTATCAATATACTGGAACTTTTCTGCTGTCAATTGAGGCCTGTTCAGATAACCGCGACCCACAAGTGGGCCAGACACGCAGAGCTCTCCAATGGCGCCGCGGAGAACTGGGGTATTTGTGCCTTGTTTGAAGACATATCCACTGACATTATCAAATTGTGGGCCGATGTTAGATGGTTTATCTAACGACGTCACACGTGGAAGCATGGTACAACCGATGGTAACTTCCGTTGGTCCGTAGCCATTGTAAATAACCTCATGAGGACCCCAGTGTTCGAGAATCTCTTGTTTTAGCTTTTCACCCCCTGTGATAAAGACACCGCGGCAAAGGGATGGAACATCCTCTGGGCGAATTAATTGGGCAAGGCTCGGTGTCAAGTCAATATGCGTGATGGAAAGATCTCGAAGGGTTCCTGCAAAATCTTCAAACAGAGTATCTCTCGGGCAAGCCGTCAAACATATTCCTACACTCCAAGTCCAGTATTGTTCAAGAACACTAACATCAAAGTGAAACGAGGCAAACTGGAACCATCGAGATGATTCGTCCCAATGATTGGCAAACAGCCTTTGGAAGGACAGCATTGCTTGCACTGCGTTGTCATGCGTTATCTCACAGCCTTTTGGCGTACCAGTACTTCCTGAAGTATACAAGCAATAGCATGTTGAGTCACCGTCTATTGGGATTTCCAGGGTTGGGGCTGTTGAATCAACTCCATCAAGAAGACCAGCTTCATTCACTGCCACTACTTTGATGCCAGAGAGATTTTCTAGCTCATTTTTCTGCTCTATACCACAAAGTAGCACATCCGCACTTGAATCCTCCACTATGAATTGTTTTCGGGCGATCGGAGCTCCAGGGTCAATTGCTAGGAAGGCACATCCAACTTTGAGAACACCAAGTATTGAGAAATAAGCCTGGGGACACTTTTGAAAAGAAACGCCGACCAAAGTCCCTTGTTTCACCCCAAGTTGCTGGAGTAGGTTGGCGTATTTATTTCCTTGTTCGTCCAGCTCCTTATATGTCCACCTATCAATAACAAGTTGGCCATTCAATCTTTCTGCGAATTCGAGTGCCACTTTAGACGGATGGTTTGCGGCTCCGGCTTCCACAAATTGATGTAAGAGTCGAGTTGGACAGTCGATCCTAGAATCTTTCCTCGGTAAAATGGACACAATTGAGAGGCTCGCATTGTCGAGGGAGGAAGAAGTGGAATCAGGGTATTGCAGAATATCGGTCAGAAGCCAGTCAAGCTCGTCTAGGAGTAATGAAGCTTGGCCTTCAGGTAGGAGATGGTTTTTGTAAGTGACTGCGAGCCTGAGTTTATCATTGTTGGGAATCAACTCAATAGAAACAGGGTACTATATACCAGTTAGTACTCTGTACTTTCCCCCCTGGCTCTCCCCACTCCCTTTTCTTAGATATACACTTACCTCCGTTTGGCTCTCCTCCTCAACTACTTCCCATAGCGTATTTTCCCTATCTGATGAGACCAGCTTTTGAAATACAAAGAGGGTATCAAATAGCGGCGAATCAGATTTGCTCAGGCGTTGAATCTTTGCTAGTGACGTGAATTGATGTTTCACTGCCAGGGCGTTTGACTTCATAATCTGCTGAAGTAACTCTCGGTTTGTCCCTTCGACATTATGCTGGGCCGGTACTGTTGTAAGACAGGGGAAAGCGGTATCTTGTGCCTGTTCTGATATATTTCTACCAGAAAGTACTAGGCCATATGTCACATTAGACTCTCCAAGGTATGAGGATAGAATCCGAGCCCAGGCGGCCTGCCCGACGGCTTGTAAAGTAACACCAAGTTCGCGACACCCTATTTGAAGCTTTTCCATTGGATACGAACAGTCACGGGAGAGGAACTGGATATCGTTCATTTTAACATGAACAGGGTTCATATCTGGGAATTTTGTAGCATTAAATGTTGGACCTATCTCTTCCCAGTAGGCCTCAGCCTCAAGAGATTGGAATTTTTCAATCATGAATCCTAGGATCGGGGATACCGGAATTGGTGGAGGTAAGGTGGACCGTTCATAGAGTTTTATCACCTCTGAGAGCATAAGATTCATGGAATGAGCATCATAAAGTGCATGATGTGCTGATAGTTGCATCAACGTAGAATCCTTCCCATGTCTAATCGTAAGGAACCAAGCAGGGCGGTGAAGTTGGCTCAGCATAGTTCTTCCATCAAGCTGATATTCACATGAAGCTTCTACAAAGCTCTCATCTGTGGATGGGCACTCATGCCAGGGTAGTTCCATGACTCCTGGGGAATAAATTATCATTGCGAATGGGAATGTGTCATCCTTCACATCACAGAATCCAGTTCTCAGCATCTCGTTTCTCTCCATGGTACTTTCCCATGCTTCCTTTAAAGCTAGGAGGTCCAACGGTACAGGAGACCTCATGGTAAGACTGTTAAGATAAAGCATTCCCTCTGAGTTTATGAAGGATGCCAACATGCCCGATTGTGGTGGAGTACAAGGCCTAATTGCCTCGATGCTGCTTTTGGGCAACCGGAATCTTTCACAAATTGAGGGTAAATGTAACAACTGGAAGCCTTCGAAATCAAAGTTATGAACGGCCTGAGCAGTACAACCATTTGTTTTCGACCGTTGAAGGAATAACGCAATCTCCCTGATGGAAGGTCCCTAAACACAGGTTCAGTTTGTACTCAAATGAAATACTGAGCTTATATGGGAGAACTCACCTCTAGGATATCCGCGGCTGAAACTTCAAAGCCCATATTCCTATAATGACCAGCAATTTGAATGGCATTGATACTGTCCAAGCCTAACTCAAATATGGTCATATCAATATCAATTTGTTTCTTATCAGTCTTTGACATTGCGGAGAGCAGGTCTCGGACTTCTAAGCTCCGTGCATCCCACTCTCTAGAGTTGTAACCTCTGGTCTTATGGGCCCCATTTACTTTTTCTTCATTGGTGAAGACACTTAGGCCTCGGGATAAGTGACCTGTGGAGTCGATAAGGGAGAAATCCATTGCCCTAGCCTCTGGGAAGAGGAGTGTATGACTTAAAAGCGTAGAATAGCATCCAATTATAGCTTCAATGTCCGTTGATGGGATAAGACCCTCGTCAAAATGAAAAATAAATTGCATAGAATCGTTCTCCGGGTTTGGCGCAATCTCAAAGATAATTGGGAAGTCCATAGTACCACTCTCGGAGACCATTCTCCACAAAGCTTCATCTAACCGGAGTGGTGTGCCTTGCAGAAGCAGTAATGAATCGAAGATCTTAAGGCCACGCTGACCGAACCGTGATTGAAGCCGCCTCATTGAACTGAGTTGGTATGGAAGGGTGGCAGACCTGTTGGATTGCAAGTTCCGCATCAGGTCCATATTTGTAATATTCTGATTGATTCTTGTCCTAACAGGTAGTGTGTTGAAGCACGGACCGATAATCCTCTCAGCTCCCTCTACGGATATACTCCTGCAATTTACCACGTCTCCGAAGCAAATGTCAGTAGCATCCGAAAGATAGCAAATGAGCCTACTCCAGGCTGCCTGTAGCAGACTAAGAGTGGTCACAGAGGTGCTTTTGCATACGTGCCCAATCTCAGCCAGGCGCATGTCAGGTACATGGGACGTAGCTCGGTATTTTTTCTCTTTTCCCTTGGTTAAGGGTGACGGCGATGTGAATAAGGTAGGGTATAAATCCTTTAGGTAATCACTCCAGAACTGGTCTGTTGAATCACTGTCAAGTTTTATCATTTCATGGAGGTAAAGGTCAAAAGGAACGACCGGTGGGAGCTGAGATCCAAGCAAATTCTCTTGGACCTCTTGCAAGAGTATCGCCATCGCCTCACCGTCATATAGGGCATGGTGTATAGACAAAAGTAAGAATGTCTTTGGAGAATCAACGCACTGTACGGCAGTAAATGAGCATAGCAAATGAGGCCCTTCCTCGACAGTGATTGTAGATTTGCTCTTTTCCAGAGTTGATGGAGCATCTGCCATTGGACATTCAATAGTATTCCATGTAATGTCTAATTTCTCCAGCACAACCTGGACGAACGCAAAACGAGCATCATCTGTCTGCCGAAACCAGGTTCGTAACATGTCGTGTCTTGCAACCATCTTCTCCCAGGCCATTTTCATATCCTCAATGTTCGTATTGATTTCAAATATCAGATGGTTGTAGTATGATTCATCATTCCCGGTTGCAATGCCAGAAAGCATGCCCTCCTGTAAGGAGGTACAAGGTAATATTTTTAAAACATTCATCCCATGCGAAGAAGCCTCACTTTTAATTTTATTTACCAGGTCAGGACTGAATAGATGATCGAATGTTGGAAGAGGTTGCGGGTCTAGAACCGAAGCCTCGACCTTTTGTTGTGTCTTTCTTGTGAGTCGAGCCACAGAATCATTTTTCATAATGACCGAGACGTCAATTTGTCCAAAACCCGCAAGTTTCAATTGCCTTGAGAGAGCAATCGCTATCATTGAATCAAAACCTAGTCGATAAAACGAAGTGTGCCGCCCGATTTCTTTCGTGGAGGCTCCTGTGACCTGTGCGACGATTTCCACAATTTTGGCTTCATCCTCAGACAAATTCTCCTGTACACACTCTTCTTCTTTCCCACGAGAGTATACTCCAAGCTGGGTAGAATCAGCGTTCAAGAATATATCACGAAGAGCTCCCTTATCAATCTTCGTTCCAATTGTCGTCATTGGAATATGGTCAATTGGTATGAGAAAGGAAGGGATCATATAACTAGGCAAACGATCACTGATACGGTCAAAGAGCCTTTGGAAAATATTATTATTTTCGCGTTGGTCAAGTTGCTCAGCGTTCAATTTATCAGGAACCCAGAACGATATCAACTCTTGGTTACCAACGTTTTGGCCCTCATATACGATGGTTGCACAATCTTTCACATTCTCATCAGTCATCAGAACACTATTTATTTCTCCCAATTCAATGCGCTGGCCTCGAATCTTAACTAGGTCATCACGGCGACCGGCGAATGTGATTGAGCCGTCAGCAAGCAGTCTTCCATAGTCGCCGGATTTGTATATCCTGCCGTACTTTTCATGGGTGATGAATTTTCGCGACGTAAGCTCCTCCATATTCAAATATCCAATTCCCTAAGTAAAAATCAGTATGTACCATGATAAAGAACCTATTCAGCAATGCACTTACCACCTGGTCTCCACCAAAACAAAGCTCACCAACCGCACCTCGTGGGACAAGAGAAAACTCATCCCCCTCTGCAAGCACAAATGCAGATGTATTTACCAGAGGCTTCCCGATATTGCTTATAAAATGAGATGCGCACATATTCGGCCTGACCGTGCAAATGTTCGTGGTCTCACTTGGGCCGTATCCTAGGGACGGATTTAATTAACGATTTCCTTTAAATCCAAATTATTGTTGTGGGAGTTACTTACCTTGCCACACGCCTTTCCCAGACCAATCCATCAGAACCTTCGGAGTCATTGCTTCGCCCGCGGTGACAAGAAAATTTGACCTGGGTACGTTACTGCGCTTACAAGTGCAGCCACAGTTGGTGTCAAGCTAAGATGCGTAATTCGCAATGTGCGAATTGTATATTCAATGTCTCTGAATAAAACATCATTCTTCGCTGAACATAGAGTCATCCCTTTGCTCCACGTAAAGAAAATCTCAAAAACCGAGACTAAATTTTGTTAATAACTATATATTAAGGAAAGGAATAATATGCTCACCATCAAAAGCATGAGAGCATGCTTGGAGTAATCGTGGCTCCGGGGCGTCTGGATAAAGGGCAGATAAAACCGCAATATTACTTTCTAGGTTAAAGCGTGAAACAAGAACTCCTTTTGGAGTGCCAGTGGTCCCAGATGTGAATACTGCGTACGCAGGGCAGGAGCCGGGAGGTTTTGGAAGTTCATATTTGACGTCTTCTCCCAATAAGTCCTTGTCGACGAGTATAGTTTTCATATTTGAGAGATCTGACAGCTGGGCCGAAATTTCGCTGTCTGTGATACAAATCCGACAATTTGCTTCCTGAATAATATGTTTTATTCGCATCATTGGCATCTGTGGCGTCATTGGCACGTATCCAGCACCCGCTTTGATAATAGCAAGAATTGAAATGTAAAGCTCAAGGGATTTCTCAAGACATACGGCAACCAAGTTACCCTCAGCAACTCCAAGGTTCCTAAGTTGGCTAGCAAGAGTATTGGATTTTGTATGCAATTCGAGGTACGTCAAGCTCTGCGTGGATATAGCACCCGTTTCTGGGTCTAGAGAGTCCAAGAATTCAACTGCAATTCTCTCAGGGTCCATTTTGGCAATATGTTCAATACCATCAGAGAGACCTGGTAAAGACTCCAAAGGTAGTGGTATGGTATTCTCCATCGATAGTAGAGAGTCCGGAAGCTTAGACGCAATATCATCCAATAATGTGTTCGGGGATTGAAGGAAGGTTAAAGCAACCCCTTCGATCTGCTGCAAAAATATCATCACCTGGCTGGCAGGGAGGATGGACTCTTGGAAGGTTGCCTTGGCTTGTATTTTACCATCTTGAATCCCAAGGTCAACGGTCAACGTGAATTCAAGGAAATCTCTTGATGCGATTTGAGTAATCGGGCCACAGTTTGTGTTGATAGTATCTTGCCAAACAAACAGCGTATCAAACAGCTGGTCCGCCAAATTAATTCCGGATACTTGTTTTATGTCTCGAAGAGGTATAAATCCATGAGCAAGTGCCTTCCTATTCAGCCTATGAAGAATTGCGAATAAGTCACGGATAGTCCGAATTTTCTGTAGGTCAAATCTCAAGGGTATTGTTGAAATACAAGGCCCCACGATATTATCAATTCCATCTATGGGAAGGGTACGACCAGCGGACACATTCCCTAGGATTATATCTGAGGTCCCGTTGTAAACTGAAAGTAAGTATCCGATGGCTGCCTGAAAGATGATTTGCCGGCTTACTCGGGAATCCCGAACCAATGAATCGAGTTGATCTAGATCAATGTTTAATTGATGTTCAACTACTCCAGTAGTTTTAGGGATATCGGATCTATCTTGGAAGTTAGGCCACAAGCATGGCGATGAGCCTTCAAGGTGAGACCGCCAGTAGTTTATAGCCTGCTCTCGTAGTTCAGAAGAAGCATGGTTCATATGGAAAAGAGTAAAGAGCCGATATTGCGGCCTTTCTGTTGGTGGTTTATTCCCAAGTGCGGACGCCAAGTCTAGCATGATCTGATCCCAGGACCAGCCATCATACAAAGAATGATGGATGTGCACCAATGCCCTGGATTTTCCATCAATAATACCAAGCTGGATCCTAAACGGATGTAGAATATCCCATTGATTTTGTAACTCTAGGTCGTAGTCGAAATTTTGTGGTTCGCTGAATTGATCTGAATGGAGCTGTTCCCAGACAACCTGTGCATATGGGAAGCCTGGAAGATCTATTTCGATAAATCCAGATCTCAAAACTTGATTGTTTGAAACAGTGATGGAGAATGCACCTTTCACATCTTCTAGGGAAATGCCGTGATCGAATTGCAGTTCGATAGAGTTGAAGTATGCCTTTGGATTTAATTTAGTCTCCAAAAGCATTCCCATTTGCGTCGGGCTACACGGAATGATTTCATGAGGTGCCTCAGAGTATTCGGTGGCCTTCAGTTTATTCAATCCTTGTTCAACTATCATATTCCATGTCTCCAATGCCCCGCTCTCAGTAGGAGCCGTAATCATCTCTGGTCGTGATTTCGATACAAGCATGGCCATTTTACGAATGGAGTCAGCTTCCAGGATATCCAGAGCATTAAGAAAGATCCCATCTTTTCGTAATGAAGAAGCAAGATTGATAGTCTTTAAGGAGTCAAGGCCAACCGAAGCAAGACTTGCCGTGGGGCCGACGGATAATTCCAAAAGCTGTTCGAGCGACGCAGAAATTTTCTGTTCAATTTCACCTGATAGCTCCGAGGGATCACTTTGCCCTATGCCCTTATGTATTATATATTCCTCTTGCAGGCCCTTTCTGTCAATCTTACCAGACGGAAGGCGTGGTAGTTCATCAAGGATTACGAAGTTTCCCGGAATCATGAACTTCGGAAGAGATCGTTGACAGATCAGTTGCAAGTCTTTGGAAGTACAACGTTCGACATCGGCGGACAAGAAAGCAACAAGGACACCGTGAATTACGCACACAGCTGCGTTCCTCACATACTGGCCTTTCAAGAGGACACTTTCGATTTCCCCTAGCTCAATTCGTTGGCCTCTGAGCTTGACCTGTCCTGTTGATATACGCCCCATGCACTGGATTTCGCCATTAGGGTGCATACGGCCTTTGTCCCCAGTTCGGTATAAGCGGCCGTACCTTTTAGAGTCAATAAAAGCGTTTTTGTTTTCCTTTGGTCGATTAAGATAGTACCTGGCGAGTTGTGGGCCTCCAACCACAAGCTCACCAACATGGCCTATCGGAAGAATCTCAGGTTCCTGACCAACCGTGTGGTCCATTGAAATAATAAACGCAGATACCGTTTTAAAAGGAATGCCAATATTCCCAACTATTGAGCCTGCTCGGACTGAAGATACAGCGGTGCAATGAATGGTGGCTTCGGTAGGCCCGTACATTCCGTGCAATATCCCAGGTCTATCATCTGAAGAGCCGAATTCATCGACCACATGTCTCGTCAACATCTCACCAATTGTCAACAAAAGATTAAGACAAGGCGTAGCTGCTCGAGATCGGAGAAGTTCTCCACAGACTGTCGGCGTAAGTTCGGCAGCATCGATGTTTAGTTTATTGATGATAGCAGGGAGATCGTTTAGCATTAGCCGTCTGTTGCAGCCCACGAGAGTTACACCTCTGAAAAGCGGGAAGAAAATCTCAAAGACTGATACATCAAACGTTGGTGCAGCAAATTGGAGGAATCTCCTAAAACTAGGGATTATCTCGCTATGGGCGAGCAAGGCTTGCACAGCAGCATGGTGAGAGATCCCTACTCCTTTAGGTAGCCCTGTAGAGCCAGAAGTATACATGACATATGCCAGGTCATCCTCTCGAACGTTCACGTCTGAAAGGCTGCCAGCGGCCACAGGCCTGCTGTCTTCCATTGTGACTACAGTGACTGGAGTTGCAATCTTTTGGAAAGCCCCAGCTAACTTCTCAATGGTAACAACTACGCGTGCGTCGACATCTCCGACAATGAAATTAAGCCGTTCTGTCGGGGTATCAAGATTTAAGGGGCAGACGGCTGCGCCCGCTTTCAAAATTGCCAACCAAGCGACATAAAGATCTAGAGATTGGGGTAGAAGCACGGGTATGATTCGTCCATGCTCTCCCGAGGCTGGAAGAGGCGCAAGAGTATGTAGCAGATGAGATGCCAACTCCTCCGAGCGAGAATGAAGATTCGCATAAGTTAGGTCCTCTATTTCTCCATTTTCGTTTAGAAATGATATTGCTGGTTCGCTGCCTGTTTTTTGAACCATTTCATGAAAAAGACGAGGACCAGGCAAGATCAGAGGTGTTGGGTTGACTACTGAGAGCTTGGGGGGCTCCCGCAAAAGACTTTCTAGCTGTCGAGCAATCTGAGTCAAGTACTCTGCACTCATGCAACCTCTCGATATGATTAAACCATTTAGCTGGTTTGGGGTATATCTGACTTCGAGCTGGCACTGCTCTCCAGAAATGGACTATGGACTTTGTTAACATGTATATATTACTACATTAAAAATTTGCGCTACTTACGTCTGCGGTGACTATGCTTGTGTAGTTACCCGAATCAGAGTCTAGTTTTTCCACCTGGACTCTCTCGAATTGACCACTTTTTGGATGTACTCTCGTTGCAGTTCCATCGATCAGAATGACTGGTGATTCCTCTTCGCTCAAATGGCTTAATACGGATGCCCATGATAGGATCAGTTTATCAACCTCAATGCTGCTGTCCAGATTCCAGGCCACGGAAACCTGTGAGGGGACGGGGTCCGGCCCATAGTTGAGGCTGGGAAATTGTGTGTATCTATTGTGCTGAATGGAATCCATATTTGGATAGGAAGCGGGGAGTGACGGGAGCGATAGCTGTCTATACAACTGACATAGCTGGAGTCCCGAACTGGAGGGTTATAAATGCTTCCTATGGCTGAAAAGGAAGTGATGATAAAAAAGCATTAAAGATAGCCACTTGTGACCTTAGTGCGACTAAGCGCATGACGTCTTCGTTCCAAAGCTAGAGGAGAGAATTAAGCCAAGGGAGGGAGGGAAAGAAGAGGGAGAATTTCATACAAGGTGTGAAAACGCCGTCCCGCCCCAGTCAGGGATCCGGCACAGGGAATCAGAACCCGAAGAGCTTAAACCGTGGGTCCAGCGAGAAACTTTTAACCGAGTCACAACTGTAAATCACGGATGAGAGCTTCGATAAAAAGGAAGAAGAACATGGCCCATACTGCAAGGGATTGCTGTATGCCTTGCCATGTAGGCGATGGTTTACATGGTCTCATTATTTCGGATAATCAGCCACCCCTCTCTCGTTTCTCTAGAGAAAAAGGAAATGTTATTATACGGGCGTAGATGCCTTGCTTGCATATGACATGATAAGCAATATCCGAGGACCGATTAGTCCCGACAGGAAAGGCAGAGCCCCGGATGCCGTAGATGGCGGTATAACTGGCCAAGCGTAGATGGGCAGACGAGTGGTTCGATGGTCTTTGGATATTGCCGATAAAATTTTCTCCCTTTGGCCGGAAGGTTGCGTCTTCCTTCCTCTTGCTCATCACTGCTGGGGTTTTGCGTGGAGATTGCGGGTAGGCAACTAAACAGGCAGAGAGGGATAAAAAGAGGTCGTTGGAGTTGTTCGTTTCTTTTTTTCCCTTTTTTTTTTTTCTTTTTTTTGCTCGGAAAAGACGTGATGATGTCCAGATGCGGCGGTCAAACGCGGATCTAATCTTATCGATCTGATAAGTAACTTAGCTCGTAAACTCCGGTGCTACCTAAGAACATGACAACCCCTTTGGGCCACCCCTTTTTAGTGCTCTCTCCACCAAAAACATCCACAGAACCCACACCCCCAGTCAGAAAGGAGAAAGGTGGTAGGGATGAGGGCGGTTAAGAGAAATAAAAACGGGGGGGAGAGAGTGTGTGCGTGTGTGCGTGAGAGAGAGGGAGAGAGAAAGAGGGAATAAAGGAAAAAGGAGGATGGCGGAAAGTACGAAAAGAGCATCGCAAACCGCATTCCCTGGTGGATCTTCAAATGGTACGCAATCATGAAAGCAAGAGATGAGGAGTACCACACACTCTCTCTCTTGAAGCGTTATGCACCTTGTCAGGGATTCGCAGGCACAGGCCTATGGCAATGCTCAGCAGTTGCACCGTTCCGTGTCCCAAACTCTACTCAGAGGATTAGGATGTATCCAGTTCGCCTCTGCAGCCCCCTTCCTCTGGCCGTACCACGTACCATCGTCTAAGCTGCTTTGCTTCCTGCATAACCAGGGGCTCGCTCGTTAATTACATCAGTTCCGTTATCAGTCAGCCCATCGAGAGGGTTTGGGTGGAACCACTTTTAACTCTAAAATTTCTTTCCCGTGCTCATGATATTTATCTGATTGATAGATGCGGGCAGGAACCGACGGAGCAGAGAAGCGTATTCCAGGGGTCCTTCGGCCTTTACTCCAGTTGATTTAAACCACCCTCCGCTCCAAGTATATACATACGATTCGTTATCACCGCCATCTCCCTTCATTCAGCACACAATTTGAGCGTGTCATTCTCCTCTCTTCTTTGGAAACGGCTTATACACAAGCACCTGGTGGACAAGATGGCCCCCTCGCTCGAATCACTAAGCCCGTATATGACTAGCACTCCTGCCCTAGGAAACGGATTTTCCAACGGAGTATCAAAGCTGGAGTTGCAGCCTGGGGTGACCCCAAACTCGTCCAACACAGCAGGACTACAGCGGATTCTGCCTCCTGTCCCTGACGATGAGCTCCACGATCTCCTGTGCGTTGGATTTGGGCCAGCCTCCCTCGCCATAGCCATTGCCCTTCACGACCGACTATCAGAGTCCGGTCATGTTCCAGATACCACTTCGCTTCCCAAGCTCTGCTTCCTGGAGAAACAGTCAAACTTCGCATGGCATTCTGGGATGCTTCTGCCAGGATCGAAGATGCAGATATCTTTCATTAAGGATCTGGCTACCATCCGCAACCCCCGTAGCGAGTTCACGTTCCTAAACTATCTACGGGCCCATGGCCGTCTCCTTGACTTTGCCAACCTTGGAACTTTCCTCCCTGCTCGTGTTGAATTCGAGGACTACATGAGGTGGTGTGCGAGTAAATTCGCCAACCTTGTCAGGTACGGAACAGAGGTCATCGATGTTAACCCCGCAGAGACCGACCCTGTGACCGGAAAAGTTCACCACTTTACTGTCCGCTCCAAGAACCTGGAGACAGGGGAAATCAGCATTCGCAAGTCTCGCCATGTAGTTGTTGCTATTGGTGGAAAGCCAAATATGCCAGCGGAGTTCCCAAGCAACCCAAGAATAATCCATTCCTCCGCTTACTGCACCACTATTCCAACCATCCTGAACAACACCCTCAAGGAGTACCACATTGCCATTGCCGGCAGTGGCCAGAGTGCAGCTGAAATCTTCCATGACCTCCAAACGCGGTATCCTAACGCCAAAACTAGCCTTGTCATGCGTGATTCGGCTCTTAGACCCAGCGATGACTCCCCATTGTAAGTGATGTCAGCTTCCTAGATTGCAGTAATCAACTAACTGAATTCTAGTGTCAATGAACTCTTCAACCCAGAGAGGGTCGACCAATTCTTCAACCAGACCGAAAAGGAGAGACAGGACTTCCTGACCCGTCACCGCTCCACCAACTACGGAGTTGTTCGGCCAGAGCTCATCGAACAGATCTACACGGATATGTATATTCAGAAAATCCAATGTCCAGATGAACGCAGCTGGCAGCACAGAATCTTCCCCTCTTGTATAATCTCAAAGGTTGAGTCAGACAAGAGTGAGAAACTCAACCTGTCTCTACAACACTGCCAATTCGACAGCACCACGGCAAATGGAAGCCACGGTGAGGAGATAAATGCTGATGCCCTGATTTTGGCAACTGGTTACGTGAGAAACGCACACGAAAGCATACTGGCTTCCATTGAGCCTCTACTGGCCCAAAAACATACAGGTTGGAAAGTTCAGAGAAACTACAGACTGGAACTGGACAAGAGCCAAGTGGATATCAATGCTGGGATCTGGCTGCAGGGGTGCAACGAATCCACTCATGGGCTTAGCGACAGTCTCCTATCAATCTTAGCAGTCCGAGGAGGGGAGATTGTGCAAGCCATATTTGGTGCCCAACTTGCAAACGGCAATTAGCCTTGTAGGGTAGAGTAAGGAGTTTGTTTCCGATGAAGCGATGAGCGGGCTTGAAGAGATATTCATTACATTTTTTTCTGACTTCCCCTTTCTATTCTTTCTTTTTTTTTTCACCTCCGCCCTACATGATTTAGCTTCCCCTCTCAGTGTAAAAGTTCTCAGTAGTCTTACTTTTAGGGTCTTAGTTTCCTTTCCATATTTCTTTTGAGTTTTTTTTGTTTTTCTTCCACCGTCCAGCGTAAATCTCTCCATAAGCATGAACCCTTCGAGTTGGATTTTATTATTAGCTTACCGCTGTATATCACATACACATGACAGTACTCATGTCCCCAAGGTTAAAAACTAAACTCAATCGCTAATTCCATAGTTATTCCATGTCTAATAGCTCTCGGAGGCGGAAAACAGCTCTCTCTCTTATCCGGCGCCAACAAGGCAAGGACTGCGAGGATATTTGATTTTTGTTAGAAACAGGGTTTCCCGATGCATTTTCATGACGCGGAATTCGGCCCATGTACCTACTTTGTACAGCGTCCTTCCATGTCAAACGGCTTATACCCACCACGGCGGAGAAATGGAGTATATAAAATAGGCACTTGGTATAACTTACTAAGCAGCCAACTTAGTAATAAGAGCGGAAAAAGCAAGCAAGCGCTCCAAAATAGCAGAATGACATCGCCGATCCCTGTGTCCGCACGCCACCGACGTGCGCTAACGCCTCCGTCTCTCTCGCGTGGAGTAAAAAGGAGATGCAACTTCTCGATTTGATAAGCCCATGTGCAAACTCTGTCTGTTATTTGATCCCTGCTGTGGAGCTGACACATCTGATAGTCTCCGAATTATCCCGGTTAGCAAAGCTGAGCGGTTGACAAGGGTGATACAAATGTGCAACACGCCAAGTGCCGAGAGCTTATTTGAATGAATAGAGCCAACTCGACGGGCCCTTTGCAGGGCTGCAGGAAGAGTTTGATGCAGGTTCCTCGGACGGGGGATGCTGTGGTATACGCGAGCGGTCTGCCGGAATCCGGGGTTAACCTTGACTGATAGTCTGCATACCATTTTTCCGTATTCGCGTATATTATTTTGCAGGAAGCCGTGACGTACAAATTAGATTTTTCATACAATATTCAGTCCCAGGTTGTGCTGAACGAAGAGAAAGAGAAAAAGAAAAGGAAATGCAAAAGGGAAATTAGGGGGGGGG